TGGACTTGAGTAAGGAGGAAAAGATGCCTCCTGGTTATGAATGCTCTGTAGTCAAAATTTGCCATCCTTTCTTGTGGTCAAAGTTGTGGTAGAATCCCATGAGACAGTCCTGGTAAAAAATAAAGGCTGAGCAGCTTTCTGCCTTTCCTTTCTTTCAGATAATTACCTCATAGCTATAGGAACGTTTAGAGCTTAGCAGAAAAATAGTCACTAGACAGGTTAGCGAGACATTTGGGATCCTTTCAGGTAGGTCTATCTCCTTTAACTTTTTCCTGTCTTTCTGGTGTTACTGTTAGACATGCCGAGTGTTCTTGTCAGCCACATACGTCCGTGCGGTTCTTCATCCTAATGAATCTGGGGCTTGCTCTTCTGAAGCCAGTGAATTTTCGATTTAAAAACAAAGACAACAACAACAAAAAAAACCATACACAGCCCCCAAAAATTACACAGGCCACCAAAACAATTGCTTGTTCTATTTTGTAGAATATAGTCTCAAGACAGGCTTAAATGACAATTGCTTGTTCTATTTTGTAGAATATAGTCTCAAGACAGGCTTAAATGACGTTTGTTTCTTGAGACTTGCTAGATAACACGGATGAAATGTATGGCTGTGTTCATACAGTTACTGCCCTGCAATCTTCCAGCCCGTCTGATTTGCGGGGTGTGTCAGAATGGAGATCTCAGCCCCTGGCAGGCAGCGCTTCTGGGGGGCAGCTGTGGGATCCTGCTGCTGAGCAGTTAATGCAAGAGCTGCTGTTTCACTGCAATTTAGATTGCAGCATGTTCAGGGAGACAGCTGCTGCCTTTCATTTTTCTTAGTACACCAGGCTGCAGTAGGGAACATTTCTGCTGGAGCCAACATGTGGTGGGGGGCAAGAGAATAGGAGGGACGTGGAGGATAGAGCTTCTGACTTTATCGTGTTGTTCATTCATGATTGTTGGGAGCAGCAGCCGAATCAGAAGAGTTGAACCCTATTGATTGGTGTTGTGTTTTCTTTTGTGCACAGGGCCTAAAGTTATTTTTTGTAGATCTGTAGAGCTCAGTGAAGAGAAAGTGGGTTGGGAAGACATATGTAGATTTATTGCTTGAGGTGAGTATGGAACATCTGTTCCCTGGTAGCTGTGGCTGAATGCTGAGCATGGGGAGGGAACACGGCTATGGATGTGCATGCAAAATTAATTCAGGACCTCCAGAAGAGCCTGAAACTTTGGAACTGTCAGGGAACAAATGGGTGTTGGTATACTGGTGTGTGTAACATGATGTTGTGATGTCCAGCCAAGTAAACCACTGCATCTCTCTCTGTTACAGGAGCAGCTAGCTAACTAGATGTAAGGGAAGTGTTTAAGAGAAACAGTGACTCTAGAGACTTCTGCAAGTAGTGGATTCAAAAACTTCTCCTAGGAATATGTTAGATTTTCATTAATTTCTGGATCGTCTAAGGAAGCATAAGAATTCCATAGGGAAACTGAACCCAAACTAATAAACCCTTTCTTGAAAAGAATCGTGTCATATTTGTTCCTTGAAGAAGTTGCCAAGCAACCTTACCGTTTAAATCCTTTCAAGGATCTAAGAGCAATGTCAAAGGCCTCCCAGGCCTGGGCCAGGCTGGGCCGCAGCAGTGCCCCAAGCCCTCCAGGAGCGTACGGGCTCTGCCAAGCATAAAAGGACACTGCCCCCAGCCCCAGGGGCTTGGCCTGACAGCCGAGCCCAGAGCAGCAGAGCTGTCACACTCCCCGCTGGTTCTGGTCGCTCTCAGGCGCGAGCAACGCCCGTGGGTGCCCTGGACAGCACAGGAGCAGTACAGGGGCACTTGCCAGGGCCTGGAGAAGCACAGGGGTCAGCTTCTGCACGGCGACACAGCAGGCATGCTGCAGGGGACAGACACAATGGCAGCCGGCGTCAGCAGCTCTGTGGGGCTCTCAGCCCACAGCATCGACCCCAAGGGCTGCTCTGTCCCTGCCTGCGTGCCTGCCTGATGGGCAGGGCTGGAGGCCTTGGAGAACAGCGGCCATTGCGGGCACGGGGCTCCCAACAGCTGCCCCCTGGCCCAGCTGGGCCCCACTTGAGGAGGAAGGAGGCTGCCAGCCCTGGCCTGGCTGAGCAGCTCCTGCCTCCTTTGGCCTCTGCTCTGGGCCCCACGCTGGCCACCCCGACAGCCCCTGGGCCAGGCTGTGGGAGGGCTGCTTTGCCCTCACCTTGCTCACTTATATCAGGGCCCTCCTGCTCCCTGTCACACATGATTCTGGTCAGGGGTGAGTCCCTGTGCAGGAACACCACGGTCTCCTCCACGTGCGAGTCCTCTCTCTCCATGGCAGAAAAAAAAGAGTGCTGCTTCATAGCAGCATACTTGTCTTGATACTGTCTCATGGTTTCCGTGGAATCGAAGCACTCAGCTCCCTTTACCTGGGATATTTGAGGGACAACTGTATCAAATCCCGGCATTACATTGTTAGAACTGTAGAGAGCAATGGCTAGCTAGCAAAGGTCATGTTCCCATGCAGCAGTTAGCTGGGAAAGAATTAGACAGTAGAGTTCGGTTAGTGTGAGATGTTGCAAAGTCAGGAAGACCTTAGTGATAACTGTTAACTGGAGAACAGGACGCTGTGATCAGAAGAATGTGAATTCAGCATAGGTGAGCGATCACAGGAATGTGGAATTAGGTGGAGTTGACCTTAAATGAAAATATCCAATAACGAGCTTGCTTTTGCACTAGGTATGAGCCTAATTATTGATGCTATATAAGTGGTTTTAGAGTTACCAATAAATGAGACTTGCTGATCATTCATATTGAGTGCTGCATTTCTTCCGCCGAACTCATCAAGGTGCCCAAACAGCAGGGACCTTTGGGACCTTTGGGATCTTTGGGACCTTAAAAAGGAGTTGGAGTCAGCCAAGGGAGTTGGTGTCAGGGGACGGGTCCTCCGCAGCAAGGACGGCCAAACGCAACAGCTGTGCCGTGTTCCAGGCAACCTCACAGGAGAGTCCTGGTCAAAAAGCAACGTTGCCGCGCCCCAGGCGTCCTTATAGAAGAGTCCTGCTGTAAGGTGCTGCTGAAACTTTGTAGGGGCTGCAACAGCACGCGCTGACGGTAAGATGGAAAGGCAAGCAGCGTATGATTTATTTACCTGCTTTTTAGAAAAGCGACAGGTTAAAGATTTTGATTTGTGCAAGGACCTTCCTGGACTTCTTGCTTATGGGTATGCCCGGGGGTGTTTTCAGAATCCCCATACAGTCCATGAATTAAGTGAGTGGCAAAAATTTGGAGATAAATTGTGGGAAGCTGTTTTAAATGATGATAGAACTGCTAAAAAAAATGGAAAAACTGTGGCGGACAGTTCATAATGTTCTTTTGCAGTATCAGGCTGAAGAGGCAGCTGCCACAAAGGCATCTGCAGCTATGTCAAAAAATAGATCATTAGAGGGAATGAATGAGTGTCCATTGCCACCCGCCACGAATACAGTAATTTTGACTCGCCCCGCGCCATCACTGACCCCTGCCGCAGCTACTAATCCTTTTGTGCCATCTTCAATACCTTCACCTACTAACCTTGCTTCTGGAACGGAGCCTTCGGCACCGTTACCACCCTCCCCTATGAGAAATCCTGAGGTAGGGCATGAGTTAGGTGAGGCTATTGCACGGGAAAGAAGGGAGACATGGGCTGCATTGGCACGGAATATTTTGCAAGAGGGTGATCAGGAAAT